TTCTATGGATATCACTGGTTTAAAAAAACGTCTTTATTTTAGCTGAAACGTTAAATTGAATCCAAATTATGTGTGGAAGTACTGAAACATAACTGGCTGCAATGATAGTAACCATGACTGTTTTTAGAAACAGTTTGTATTGTTAATAGTAAATTTAAATTGACTTAATTTTGACACTTTGAAACAAGGACTCAGAAAAATGAAGTTTGGGTTTTTCTGTTTGGAGTTTGCATGTTTTCACAAGTTTTTGAACATTTTCCTCTCATAGCTTCATTATTTTGTTTTCATAAATACCAAACACAGTTTTCAAATTGACAGTTCTACATAATGAAACTCTAATACAGCTTCAAAAAACTATTTTTGAGAAATGTATGGCATAAAATGTTTTATTATGAAAGCTAAAAAGAAAAAAATAATATTTTTTATGTTTGTTTTGTCTTATTTTAAATGTACTAAGACATTGGCACAAGAAACTAGACAAATATATTTGGTAAAATGTGTGTTTTTCTACTATGTGTAACTTGTGGAACCAATTATTTATATTTTCTAACCTTGGATTTTGAATGAACATGCTCAGTGAAATCTTATATTTGTTCTAGTACATTTTAGTGTGAATTTAAGCTACTGCAAAAAATGATTAAACTGTCAGTAAATAAACAAACAACAAAAAAGACTGTGGTGACTCTAAGCTTATGTGTGAGTTTTGGTGTGATTGCTAACTGCCTCCAAATGTGTAAACACTCCTGCTGCCGTCTGTCCGCAAGACGACGAAGTGTGCACAACACTCTGAGTTCCCCTGCAGCTTTGGTCAACTCCAATGACAAACCAACGTCTCTGAATAAATATATTTTTGGAAAAAAAAAAAAGTACGTGTGAAATTAAACAAGAAACAAGTTTGTAAAATTTACTGCATGGATGTGAACATACTAAAGTCTAAATCAGAAAATATGGATACAAGAAGCAGACAAACTAAATAAAAACATCATACCCTGCAAAAACACAGTCTTATCAAGTGTTTTGGCCTATTCTGGTGCAAATATCCACATGAAATAAGACTAAAACATATAAGGAATTTTTGTTTTAATCAATAATTGATTAATTTTAAAAAATAAAGTACCAATTCCACTGGCAGATTGTTTCACTCATAACATGGAAAAAATATAATCTGCAGTGGAGCTATACTTAAAAATATATCAAGGAATTATTGACTTAAAGCAATTTCTTATATTTCCTGACTTGCAAGTTAGTTTAGCATTATTTCAAGTGTACTATCAATCAATCAAGTTTATTTGTATAGCACATTTCAGCAACAAGGCATTACATCAAAAAACACCCAAAGTGGGTCGAGCATCCAAATATTGCACTCAAACAGCTTTACTTCAACTCAAGTAAAAGTAACAAATAAAGCGCATGAAAATATTTCTAATTTTTGCCATAAAGTTACTCAAACTGAGTAAATGTAAATACCCAACTCTGAAAACAACATACAGTCACCAATTGAAGAACCAGTAAATATCACATTTTGTAAGATATTTGCGTCAGAAAGAAACTAAAAATGTTTAGTAAGATTTTGTGTTTTTGTGTCTTCGCTCTGGAGACTTTTGCTCATTAAACCCACTTATAAATCAAGAACTATTTTCCAAAAATATATTTTTAAAGAAAAGCAGAATTAAATGTCTGGTTCCTGCTCCGGCTCAGTGCTACAGGAATGTAAGTGTTACCAAAAAGCCACAAGCAAAGCGGTTAACACACCGGTTCAGAATCTGGAGCATCATTGCTAAACTCAAACTGAAATGAGCAGTGGGACAAACAAAAACACGACCCTCCATCTGCTGCGCAGGCTCACGCTTTCACACCCGGCCTCGCCCCGATCGCGAGCTGAGAAGTCCAGGTTTGTCACGAGACGCAGGTGAGGCGGGCAGGAACAGTTGGGACTGTGTGACGTCACAGAGAGGAAACTGAGGGTGGGGCCGCCTTCATGCTGCAGAATAAAGCTGGGCTTTGAGCTCTGGTCTGAACACGGCTGCTTAGCTCTCTGCAGCTTGTATCACGTCACACAATGGGAGCTTGTCTATGAGCGAAGAGGGCCAAAGAGCTCGTGGAGAACGTGTAAACACGAACTGTTTTGTTTCCGAGCTGATGCGGGTGATTTCAAGAGAAAGGGGCGTAATCGGGGAGACAGGAAACTGGTTTGCTTCAAAAGATTACAGCTGAATAATGAACACAGGTCGCTGGTCTACCAGAAGGTGCTGACATTTTGTAGTAATAGTCGTAACGTTGCTGAGAAGTGGGAACTCGTCACACTCGAAGCAACAGCGTCGGAATTCCAACATGGCGACACCCATAACAGACCCAAAACTAACCTTTACTTTCTATAAGCAAACACCACTTTAAGTTTTTCTACAGTTTAGATCTTGTGGGCGTAATGTGACACTGATTTTAGGCGCACGTTAACACTCGTCTTTTAAAATTAACTTTTCTGCCACATCTTTCTATTGTTGATGTGAGGAGCGGCCATTTTGAAGCGTAAAGTTCGCCTCACAAGTCGTGAATGGGAGTAAATGGAAACGCTGCCTGTTTCCCGGGAGGGTATTCCAGTTGACCTTTCCAACTGGGAAGTCAGAATTTCCCAGTAACGAGTACAACTGGAACTTAGCATAAATATACTAGCTAAACATCGGAAGCTAGTGTATATTTTCTTAACATTTGTACACGTTTTAAATTCTTATGTTTTATCTGTTTAATTTAATTATAATTTTTGTGCAGCACTGGATCCTGTCTTTAAATGCTTCATAAATAAAGTTGGTTTTGACTATTTGGTTCCCCCAAAATGCACTTTAATATATTTCTCCACGTCTGACGTCACTGTAAGCTAAAATGTGCTGTTAGTGCTGTTTAAGCGTAGTATAAACTCATAAACTCTTCACATATGCTACACTCATTTGCTATACCTCATATTAACGTTCGGCAGCCTCTTACTGCTTCGAGGTCAAAGGTGATTCAGAAATGGTTTTATGCAAAGTGGTTATTTTAGCAATTATCAATTTGAACCAATCTGTCTTTTCTGCCCTGATGTGAACACAAAGCTGCTGCTCACTGGATATTTTCTCTGTTTCACATCATTTGGATCTGAAAGACGTGAAAATCCCAGACGAGACCCAACCTTACACTGTGGCTGCAGCTAACAATTATTTCAGTAATCAATTATTGTGACGATTAATCAAATAAAAAATTGGCACATTCTGTTGATTTAAAAAAAGAAGTGTTTAAACAACAACTAATTAAATTAATTTTAAATAAAAAGATAAATGTAAACTTCAATAGCATAGCATACTTAGTGTATGCTTGATCACTTGTATCTGCAGCTAAGAAATAATTTAAACGGTAATATTTTATTCAAATATGTTAACACTGGTATGTGACCCAATCTTAAATAAGTACAAATTCATATTTTTCAAAATATTGCAAATATGTTTCAGTCATATCCTTGTGGTTGCTGCATGGCACTAAAATGTGACTAAGTTCAACTATCTTTTCAGTAGAAAAGGGCCTTTCTGTGAAACAAACAGGCTGTCGGGCCTGTTCTCTATACTCTGGGTGGTGAACTTACTAAAAGTGCACAAAGACTTGTGTTGTGAATGAATGTGTGGTGTTGAGGGGCAAAGCACTCAGGCCTGGGTGTGCACTGTCACGGTCTTAAACACAGAGTGTTTGTTAGTGTTTGCTCTGGAGGTTTGCTGTTAAGTCAGGTTTAAAGCTCTCTGGGTGTGTGTGAAGCTGAAAAGATGTTTCTCCATTTCTCCAGACAGCCTGTAGAAAACACCAATATTACCATCAAAGCTAAGTTGAGCAAAGTGGCAACATGCAGTGGAATTTCTTTATTGTTCAGTTGAGATTCAAATACATCTAATTTACAAGAGAGACTCGTTTTGATTTAAAAAAAAAAATCGAACTCTCATGATACATGTGATTAAAACATTTGACAAAATTAAGTAAAAGAATAAAAATTGAAGAAGCTTCATGAGTAGATTTTTTCTTTTTCTAAAAGAAGTTAATGGAAATAGAAACTAAAGATTCTTCTTTAAATTTCAACCATTGTTTCCCAAAGGTTCCCTCAGAAAAATGTCTTGCATTTTTTAAAGGGTTAATTTTTCTATATGCAGCAGCAATAAAACTTTTTTTTACTCATCTCTACCAGGACTGTTAATATCAAGGGATGCTTTAAATTCTTGGCTTAATTTCACAATAAACTACATGGTCATGCATGCATATATTTATGTGTATAAATTGAATCTGTTTGACTTTTGTAATACAAATAAACCAAATTACACAATAGTAACAACAGTAGTTGTAAAAAAATAAATAAATAAAGCAGCTCTCAGAAGCAATGCAACATTTCTGAACTAAAATAAACTTGTTTTATTTCACTTGTGGGTTTTTTTTTGTGTTAAAAAAAAACAACCCTGAAATTGTCTTTATGTTCCAAAAGCTAAGTATAGCTACAAATTACTCATTTTAAGACAAGGTCTTCTGTTGTGCCCTGAGGATGTGGTGTGTTATTTTTTCCTTCTGACGTCATCATGGGAAAAAGCTAATATGGGTTCAGCCACCGCAGTGACTCTGTTTTATTAAAACTGGATTTTTCTACAATGCTTAATGGAGGAAATTGTCCCACATTTGAGAATAACTTAAGATTTTGGTGTTTTTCTTCTTTTCATGTGGTTTATTGTCACTCTGGTGTTACGTCTGGGGAGGGCCGGTGGGTGGAGATATGCAGATGTTTTCCAGGGGGCCTATTAGTGACGTACCAAAGTCCTTCAAGCCCACAGTGGGACTGCTGTCACTCCAACACAGTCCACCTCAAACAGCATCAATTTCAGCAGTTCTCTTTTTATGCTGACTATATTTCTGCCTTTTTTTTCAAAGGAAGATTTAAGTAATTTAAAAATATTTTAAAAAGTAATTTTTTCTTTCTTTCAGACTGATTTTTATTTTTTTAAATGATGCATTTTGCACTCGTGATTGGTTTGTTTTTTCCACTAGCTGAAGCCAAATACCCCAATTTATTCACAATTCATCAGGGGCTCAGTCCACACCAGGAGCAACTGGAACCAACCAGCAGACACAAGTAAGTCCAAATCTTTCGATGTGAAATAAGCAGCAGCACATTTTAGGTTAAACTTCAGATCTGGCATCTGTTTTTGTTTCATTTGTCATGTTTTATGTGGACTTTTTAAAAGGAACCGCTGTGCCTACGTCATTGAGAAGACGGTTTCCTTCACTGTCCAGGATGGGGCAGCGCCATATGTGAAGGCTGAATACAACAAGTGTTCCTGGGCCAAAAAATGCCCAACTCTCCTGTAAGTGTAGACAGAAGCAAACGGATGCAAACAACTAATAGACTCACAATTAATTGCTGATTAATGGTTTGTTCAATACAAATTAAATAACGTTCACTTAGATATCCATTTAGTGTTGTAATTCTTCCTGCTATGGACAGTCGATTATTCCTCTTGATAGAAGAGAGAATTACTGTTTTTAAGACTAGTCACTAGTCAATTAATGAGATGAATCAACTTCAGTTTAGCTCATTAATCAATAACTTGCATCCCTTGCAGCTTGTAAGGGATGCACTGAATCCCATTGAAAACCTCCTGGTTCTTCCACCAAACATTGATTCCTGAACTCGTCCTGAGTTAAAACATTAGTTTTGTTGTGTCTAAATGAATGTCAACTTGTTTTCTTTGCTTTATTTGAGGTATGAAAGCAATGCATCTTTTTTGTCATTTTGATCATTTCTCATTTTCTGCAAATACAAACAAAATTTTTGCTTTGAATTTCAGAAGCATGTTGCCAGTACTTCACAGAATAAAAGAACCCAGTTCATTTCACTCAAACATTTACCTATAAAGAGTAAAATCGAAGAAACTGATCATTTTAAGTGATCTCTTAATATTCTCCAGGGCTGTGCATGACTGATACCTCCATGTTTTGCTCAGGTATCGCCTTCTCTACAAGCCGATGTTCAAGGTCGCCCATAAAACAGTGACTGAACTGGAATGGCGTTGTTGTCCTGGGTACTCTGGTTACAACTGTATGGATGGTCACCAGATTTACCAGCATTCAATCAGGATGATGCCACCATTCAAAGGTCCACCAATGAAAGCCCCACATTTTGGGGGTCCACAGCACCAAGGGCCCGTTTTCAAAGGTCAAATGTTCCAGACTCCACCTATGAAACCAAACCCTTGGAGTCAACCGAAGCGATCTCACACCAGCAGTTTCAGCTCCTACCCACTGCCTCACTTTGGGTCGCCAAAATCCTTGTCTTACCCCGACTCATCCTTTGAGCCTTACCCACCAGAACCTCAGCCAGAACCAGAATACCAGGAGCCACATATTACAGAGGGCGACCCAGAGCACCTGGGGGAATACGACCAAAGACCAGAGGAAGTTACCCCAGAGGAAATGGCCGCCCCAACCGAAGAACAGCCACAGGGGAAGATCACAGGTAACTCTCAGAAATGACTGATGTAGATGGAGAATTTCTATTCTCAATTTGGGACAAAGAAAAATCTTCTTACAATAGAAACTGTTTGCAACAACACCGACTTTTTTTGTCTTTAAATAATCCTTGTATTCTGCAAGGATCACATCTATGCGGTGACCTCTACTCGAAAGTTTGCACACAAATCTGCTTTTAATGAATTCATTAAACTTAATTAAAGCAAAGAAGGAAATATTGATCTAAATCATGGTCTGCATAAACTCAAAATTTTACCAAGTATTTTGGTCGAGTTTCTAGTGCAAAAATCTTAGTACAATTCACATAAACCAAAATAAACATACAAGTAAAAGTTTTAACTTTTCACCAAAATAAGTTTTTAAGTTTTGCATCTAGAATCATTTACATGCCCATTGCGCACAACAAACCTACTTTATTAGTTTATTTAAAGCATTGCATGTGTTGTTTATTGATGAGTGGGTGCAAAAACTTTTCTTTTTGGCACTCAAGTTGTTGACCGAAAGTTTAGACACCCCTGACTTGCATGCTCTTCCTGAAAATGAGCTTGTCTGATTTCTTGTTTATAGGCCAGGCTCTGGGGAGCGAGACAGAGGAGAGGATATTTAGAATAGAGGAGGATCTGCGGCATCTGAACCTCGATCTGCAGACACTGAGGGGAACCGTGTCTGGACTGGAGAACAGCCTGAGAGCCTCGCTGAGAGACGATGCCAACAGGATGCTGTCAGCTCTGCTCTCTGCTGCACCAAGGCCTCTTGCTGCTCCCGCTACAGCGTCTAACCCACCTGTCGTCGGGTTTGTGGAAATCCCTGTCAGAGATCTCGAGATGGAGGGCTTCGATGGCAGCCACGTGTTTCCAGACCTCACAGAAATGAGTGGAAGGATGGAAAAGCTGAGGACGGAGCTGCAGGAGCTCAGAGCAACGGTACAGGGACAAGACAGAGTCCTGAAGATTATCTCAAATAAAACCAGGGGAGGTGTGGAGAGTTTGATGGATGCTAAACTGAGTGCAGTCAGGGTGGAAATACTCGATGGATTGGAGGAACGAGTTGAGAGTGCGGAGGATCGCTGCGGGGAGAAGATTGGAGCTGAGCGGCGGCAGTGCCAGAGGGATCAGCGGCAGCGGCAGGAGCAGATGAGAGGCGCTCTGGAGGAAAGCATGTCAAAGCTGAGGGACGAGCAGGGGAGCATCCGGTCGCAGATCCGTCCATCAGGCGAGCTGGCAGAAAGAGTCCTGCATCTGGAAACATCCGTGGCAGGCCTGAACCGGTCCCAGACGCACCTGAGAGTGGCTCTCAGCGGTCACAAGGACCACATAGAGGCGATGCTGGAGGGCCGGCTTCGGTATGTTGAAGACAAGCTCAACCTGACAGGGCAGATGAGAAGTGGAGATCCTGTGGAAGAAGCTGCATCGGGGCGGAGGCTGGAGGCCAGAATGGAGGGGAAGCTTCGAGACCTAGAGGACCGCTTATTGACAGCTCTAGAGGAGCTTAGCAACGCCACCGCCCCCACTCTGCTGGAAGGCCATGCTGTCCCAACACTGGAGACGGAGCTGGAGTCCCTCCGCAGGAGACTTGAACTCGATGTAGACCGAGTGCAGAAACACCTAAACAACCTGGAGATTCTCTGCTCCTCTCCTTGTTCTCCTGCTACCCAAGGAGACGCTGCTGGGCCGGGTGAAAACCAAGACGTAGAGCAGAACATAAAGCAGGTTTTAGACTCGCAGAACGACCGCTTGAGCAGTCTGAACATCACCCTGCAGAAGATCTTAAACACCAGGGAGAGGCAGGTAGACGCAGAAAGAAGTCCTCCATTTCAGGCAGAGCTTACGGTTCTTAAGTTCAATGTTCGTTCAGTCAACCACACCCTGATGAGGCTCCAAGACTCCCTGGGCACTGTGGTCCATCAGGTGGGAGAGGCCAACAGCTCCTGGCATGAACGAGAGCTCCGCCTGGCCAAGCAGATGAAGGGCGTGGTCCAGCTGGTCGGGCATCAGGCCTCCATGCTGGGGGCAGGCGAGCGCAGGCTGACCCGGCTCAAAGCTGAGCTGCAGGACATGAAGAAGCGGCTGGCGGAGGAGGTCCGCGGGTGCCGGAGCACCGCCATGGTGGTCAAGAAGGAGGTAACTGAGGTCGGAGGGCGCGTTGCCAGCGTGGAGGATCAGTGTAAAGGTCTGAATAACCTGGCAGAGGATCTGGAGAGAATCAGGGAGGAGCTGGAGAAACAATCCAGCAGTCTTCTTCTGCAGATTAATGGGACGCTGACCAGCCACGCTCAGCAGCTGTACGAGCTGAAAGACGAGCTGAGAAACTGCACCGTGAGGGCCGAGCCGACCAGGAGCTCAGAGACCAAACGAGGCGACACATTCACTCTGAATTAGTTCAATTGGTAGGGATGTTGATATTTTCCCGCTGAAGCCTTTAAAGGTGACCTATTATGTTTCCTTGAGCAAGTCAAGATCTATGGGCATTAAAAAACATGTTTATCACTTTTTTTTTTACACAAAATCAGTTTCTGATAAACAGATTTCAATGTGGTCAGTACTGAACATTTTGAGCTGTTTTATGGCCTCTTGTCACTTTATATCCACCTAATCAGCTGCTGGTCCCCCAAGCCAACGTTTACACTCACATCTGAAAATGGCTGCAATCAGATGCGTAATTATACAAACGTACATCTTTGAAAAGCATTAGTAAGCCCTCCTGCACAACCAACAAGATTCACAAATGGTTTTTTGATCCCAAATGAAAATGAAATGTTGCTGTAACTCATATTAATTCAAGATTCTTCAAAGAGTTACTGCAGATGGTGATGGTTGAATGCAGCAAGTGGACTTTGGGTGGTAAGTTGACAACAAAACACTTGTCTTTTCCAACAGCCATTGTACAGCACATAAAGCAGGCTCACCAAATGTGCTGGAACTCCACCTGGGTTGCTAGGTAGCGAGCCTAGACTTGGGTTGGGTTGCAAGGCAGCATGACTTCTTTGATACGGCTCAATTTCCAGACGACAAACATTCAGTTATTGCTAAAAAAAAATAATGGTTGGCTTGTTTTTAGAAGCAGTGAAGATCCAAATGGAAGCAAAATAAATGTGCAAAATGTGAATATTACATAGTAGGTCCCCTTTAAACCTGCACTGAAAGAGAAATACTATCATGATATGCAGTGAAAAAAGAGAAGGCAGCTATCTGTGATTGAAATGGTTCCATTCGCGATGGTGCTATATGACAAATTATTGTTTGTAAACAATTTTTAGCGTGATTGAAGGATGAATCTGTGAGTGTGAAGCTTAGATGAACAACGAATTAACAATGTTTCTATGTTTTTATATTGAATTTTCTTATGCTAAGGTTATATATATGCAAAACAATATTTGTGTAACAATCTGCTGGACGTTGGGTTTAGTTTGTTTATTTTGACTTTAATTTCTGTGATCCTGATCTTTAAAGTTAATTTCCCTTCAGTTTCTCTGTGTCTAGGTGTCGCAACTCTACACCTGTTGTACATCTACTTGCCGGGGAGTGTAAATAAGTATAAATACTCTTTTGTTTCAGTCGCACATAGTCAGAGCCTACTGTTGCTGTTCTGTTTGGATTTGTTCAATAAACGTTTTACCAAACTGCTGGTTTCTTCAGCTCTTTTTTTTACATCCTCTACAATAAAAAATCTCATCATGAGAGCTAATTTAACATGAATATATTGCTTGTAACACCATCTTTGGCAACAGCAACTTGAATTTGGGTGACGCTTCATATGTTGGTCAGAGGACGGTTGACTCAGTGACTTAACCCCAAGCCATCACTCCTCCACCGCCGTGCTTGGCAGTTGGTTTTAGGTGTGTTTTCTGGTACGCAAACTAAGCATGGAATTTTGTTTCAGAGTTAAGCGTCTCTATTTAGGTTTTAACTGTTCAACAGAACCACAAGAGGGCAGTAGAGACATATTAATATGTTTCGGTTCGGTGCCATGAGGATCTATGCTGACAGTAAATAATCCTCCAGTGCCTTCCAAGAATTAAGTCAACAGGGACAAAGCTCGCTTGCCAGAAGAATATTACAAATTTGTATTATTGCCAAGGTGATGAAGAAAGACAACCCAGGAGCAGCAGCCAATATCTCATTTCTTCTGGTTGTACATCAGGCACGGCTCTCATTGGACCCTGCAATATAGTAAAAGGTGACCTTGTTAATAACCCTCTCCTGTTAGTTCCTGCTCTGCAATCAGGGGGTGAAATGACAGCTTCATGGGAAATGACTCCACTGTTGTGTGAAAACACTTTATCCCCAGACCTGGGCTGCATATTAACAGACAAAATGAAATAATAGAGAATGGAAAAGAGAGCAGAGAGGAAGTGAAAGACTCCACATTTATGTTATTTGGGGAGCTGGAGAGATGGGCGAGTTTGAGATGGAAACGTAAACCTGAGGGAAAGACGCACAGTTTCCACAAAAAGTTAACACTTCACAGTTTAAAAAGGGGACCCATGATATCTATCTAATTATCTGTGCTCTCTTCTTTGTATTCCCCAAATGTCTGGATTAGGTTCACAGAAACACCAGACCAGACAACAACCCATTAATCTTTGTTTGTTTCCAACAAAACACTTGGACAGAAAGGGCAGACATGGCTCTGGTGAATTTCTCTCTCTCTCTCTCCCCTCATGGTGGAGTTACGCTTCCTGTGCGACACGCAGAGCGTCGCTGACCACCGCCTCCCTCCACCCAAATCACAAAAGGCACAGCTGGCACGAAGACAGACGACAGAGGATATTGGAGTAAACACAGGGCGGCAGCTTTCGAAAATGTGAATCATCCTGTATAATGTCCTCTGCAGAAGCTTAAGGTTAAAGTAGTGTGCAGCTTTTGTCCTCATTACAGTGATGGCCAGAGAACAGACAGAGTTGATTACAGCTGGCTCACAAACCAGGAAGCCCAGGAGAGAGTTGCGTTAAATCAAGGACTTCTCCGGGATTTGACATTTTCCAAGGAGACGTTACATATAAAGCTGAGCTAAAGGATTTATCCTCAGTCGGAAGTCGCAGTAATAACGTCAGAGTTTTAGAAAATAATCCGACTAACTGACTGAACAGATGCAAAAAGTAAAAAGGAATCAGAGCCACGGATGAAACAAACGAGATATTATCATTATAATAAAAAATAAATAAAAATCATAAAAATGTAAAACAGAATAAGAACAGAACCAGTCCAAGCTGAATAGATGCTTAAAACAGAAACTAAATTGAAGTTTTTATCTTTGGATCAAACTCATTTCCATTCTGGGCCACATCAAGATAATGATGTGGAAGAAAGTATTGGTTAGGAAACTCTTAAAATATTAATAAATATATAAGTTCTTCTTCGGGTATCGAACATTTACCTGACTGAATAAACGACTCTGTAGAACTAATTTAGAAATATTTACAAGGAATTCTGCAATATTTGCGCTCATATATGCGACTTTTTGTTACCTGCCACATTGACTGACTTTACAGCTGAGGCATCAATGGAGTAAAAGTAAGAAATACTGCCACCTGCAGGTCGGAGTCCAACGTTTTTGACTATTTTTTCAAAAAATAAATTTTAATAAACTAAAATTTTATTACCAGCATGATAAATGCGGCTGTCTGTATATTTTGCGTGGATTTCCGTGATCAAGGAATCAATAAAAAACTGGAGGGACTAACTGATAAACTTTGGTATCTGGAGTCTATAGGGCCATTTAAAAAGCTATGGCGTTCCAGATTTGGCCCCGCGCCTTGAGTTTGACACATGTGATCTAGAAACGAGTCTTGCAAACCAGTGATCAGATCTGAACATTTAGAGTCACATAAAGACGGTTAAAAAGTCGGCCTTCTATCACCTGAAGAACATTTCCAGGATTAGAGGACTAATGTCCCAGAAAGACAGAGCAGGGGTGTCCAAAGTGTGGTCCGGGGGCCATTTCTGGCCCTTTAAATGATGTGACCACAAATCAAGAATGGTAAAAAAAATTTACCTAACAAAGTAGAAAACAATTCATAAACCAAAAACTTTGGAAATTCTAATTTTTTCCCTCCACTCAATAAATTACTGAATGTCTCAGCACCACAATACATTAAAGATCTGCATTAAAGATATAAATAACAACTGGAATATAGAATAATTCTGGACTGGATAACAACTTTTCATTTGTTTTCTTTATTCTATCACTCTTTTTGTTTTTGTTTGTTTTTATGGAGTCAAATACTTTGAATTTCCTTGTTGCTGAAATGTGCAGTAAAAATAACCTTTGATTTCACAAAACCGTAGAAAAACGTCACAAAACAACAGAATTTTTGGTTTGTTTAGGAAACTTTTGCTATTTTGTTTAAAAAACACAAAAAAAAACTTATTTAATACTTAATTCATTAACACATTATAATAGGCAAATCTCCTGGTGGATAAGAAAACCCATCAGCCATAACCAGTACAAACAATGACTCAGCTCCTGCAAATTTCTGTTTAGCCAGTAAGTGGGGAAAATAAATCTTTACAATATAACTTATTTCCTATTATCACAGCATGAGATTTCCAGAAAGAAGTGGAAACTCATTTTTGTTATTTTTCAAAGCAGATAAGTAATTTAAAACTTGTTTCTGGAACAAAGACTCTCAGGAACAGAAAGGGACGACCATATAAGGGCAGTGAGTTTTTTAACGCTTCCTGTTGTAAAAGGCAAGCAAATATCTTGGAAACGAAGTATTATGTGATCATTCTTTCTTTCCCTCTACAAAGGAGAAATATAAAAATGTTAGGGTTATCATTACTCACCAAAAACGTTCTGTTTTTCACGTTCGATTGCTTTTTCAGGTGAAAACATTTGTTTTTATTTTTTCAAATATTTGCTTCCTGCCAGATATTTGCTTTATCCAAAACACAGTGACTAGCTGAAGCAGCAACATGTGTTTTCTTAGTGTCTGGTTCCATTTCTTATTTAATGGAAATACCACAATGGCAGCATTTTGTTTTTTCCACATTAACAGTATAACAATAAAGATTTATGCATATAACCCATATAACTCTAACCCTAATGGAAACACAGAAAGTATAACAATGCAGGTCAGAACTGGCAGGAATCTGAATTGTAGTTTTTCGATCTACAGCTTGTTGAGCTTTCTGTACCGTGCTTTTAAATCTCTGTGTGTGGTGCCAGTCAGCCTCCTCGCTAAACAAATTGCCATGAAGATCTTTGACTTATAAACTCAAACAGAACCGAAGGCGACCATTGCTCTGAAGCTAAGTAGCCAGAGCACTTTACATGCATGTATTATGTGTCAAACTTCCACTGCTCTGTGTTCGTCTTTCTTCTTTATGCTTTTTTGCATAACTCTTTGGTTCAGTTCAGACACGGCAATAAATAC